GCGGGACATCCTCTGTATAGGAGATACAGAAAACTACTGGAAGTTCGCGGGCCAATTAAATGGGTTGTTTGCTCATCAACTCGCTTCATATTAGTTCTTCAGATCTCAATTTTAATAGCTGTTCTAACACCGTAAAGCCTATGCCTAAGAATCTGTAAGTAGTTTTTTGCTATAAAACTTTATAATATATAGCTTTTATTTATTGAAGCCCATTAAAAAATTAGTACAAAAAACTAATAATGAGCATACTTTACTCTCATAATAGATATTACGCAATATTTAGGTATGATGAATGCAGAGAATAATCAAGCACCCAAAAAAATAAAAAGTTGAAAATAAGTATCCCAGTACTCCAAGTGAAGTGAATCATTTAAATTAATCAATAATAAAAAATTGAAAGATATTATATTTAAATATTTAGTACTCTCAAACAACTTCTAAACATTCTTCTTCGATATTTATTAATTACATTTTTGTTGAACATTACTTTACTTTAATAGAAAGAAATTGATTCATTGAAATTGAGACTGGAATTTATTTGTAAAATATTATTTTCAAAATGCTATGAACATTGTTCTTTTACATTGAAATTCAAAATTTGCAACTCATTAAATATATGTTATTTCCAGAAAAATATTTAAATATTTTGCATAAAAATGATATGAAATAAAACTATAATTTTTAAGTATTTGACTAAGCATTTCATTTGAAATTTAGTATGTAAAGTACATTTACTTAAATTTCTGAAAAGTAATTTTTCTGACTTTATTTACTGATAAATAAAATATTGTAGAATATTTGAACATGCATTTAAAAGGAAAATAGCATTGATTATTACGCACAGATTGACTCAAAGGAAATACGTGCATTTGACTAAGAATAATTTTGAAAAATTTTATAATTAGATATCTTTTATTTCAAATTTATTAGCAATATGTTTTTTATAGCATTTTTATTGATTATTACAAGTAAAATAGATTTTCTTTACGTTTCTTCAGAGCGTTTGACTTTAGAGTTCTAAATTTATTCATTTTCATATTTTATTGACTTTTATTATTTTATTACACTTATTACTTAAAATCGGAAAAAAAACTATTTTATTTGGAATCATGATCACACTATATGATATGCTGTAACGTAGATGCTATCGACACAACTTTAGGATTTTTTTATAATTTTATAACCGTTTTCGAACAGTCGACCTAATTTTGAAATAGTGACTAATGTACAACTTCACAGCCTTGTAATTTTGAACCCATTCCAGAAGACAAAGGAAATCCTGAATCAAGTATTTGGAGAAATTCGCCATCATGGGGAGCTTTTTGATGGAATTAACCCCCATTTGCGTTATACATAGAGTAAAAATCCCCATGGTTAGCTGGACGGGAAAGAGGCTAGCACACGGTCTATATACCATTGAGGATAATATACTTCAGCACTGACTGTGCTCGGTTCTAGATGCTGAATTCGTAACGACCTGCCATCGCTGTGATTTGAGCCTAGTTCACTTCATTTGAACGTGAACGCTCTATCCCCTGAACCACCACGGCTGACAGCTTTAGGTTTCTGAGAATTCGGAATTAATTCAGATAATTATTTTACCGAGTTCATAACCAAATTACACAATTTTAGAGTTTTAGCATCGCAAGCCATCAAAACAAACCTAATAATGGTCTCTGTTTCACAATCTGTGAGAAAACATCTATTAGTGATAGCCCTAGCATTGTGTTTTAAAAAATTTTATAAAATTTTTTTTTCGGTATAATTAATTTATTAGCGTCTTAATACTAATTTTGCATCACTACAAACTTATTTTTGAACTTTTTTTTTTCTTCTCACTCAAATTTTGTTTCATTTCATTCTATAACCGGTGCTGAACAGCAGACCCAATTCTGAGTTATAGAATTTTAATGTTAAACTCCGTATACTTGTAATTTTGAAAATAACCCAGAAGACAAGTAAACTCTTGGATCAAACAAAACAACTGGGAAAAACTAGCCTTATTGAAAGTCTATTTTGATTGTATTAACCTGCATTTGCGCTACATGGAGAGGAAAATCAAGAAAACCTCCCATGGTTAGCCTGATGGAGATGGGATTCTAACCTAAGATCTATCTACCACTGAGGTTATTTTACTACTACTGAGCATTGGAAGAAACTAGCCTTCGTGGAGGATTTTTGGATGGAAATAACCCACATTTGCTTTAAATGAAGAGGAAAACCTTGAAAACTAGCCAGATGGAGAGAGGATTCTAACCCATGACCCCCACCACTGAGTATATTTTACTCAATAAATTTTGTTTATTGATTGTAAATGAAATTAATTTTAAACTAAATTAAACTATTTGTATATCATGTTAAATATTGGGTATGGGATACCTCAAGCGTCCGCTTTTTGCTTGTCATTTAACGGTTTTGAATGTTTGGAACTTTATTTAAAAGCTTTGAACCAGAAAACTCCGTTATATATATANTGGTCTTATATATATATATATATATATATATATATTTCACAGAATGTATGATCGGTTCACATGCAATCAGGAGTTATGAGGTAGTTTTCCACCCTATCACTACTTAATCAATTAAAACTAGAATAGGGAAAGATGCTTAAGAAAACTATATATTCGCGGAAATATGATTAATATACAAAAAGAATTTACTCAAAAGAAAAAGATTCAATGCACGTATAAAGATTTTATCAAAGAAATTGCTCAGAAGGTCTTCTATCCAGTTACAATGTAGGTTTCACACCTGCTTCATAAGGAGTGACGTACATTTGTGAAAATATCAAGCAATTTCTTTGAGCATCTTCGGAGCAATTTATTGATTTATTTTTTAAACTTATGATTTATTCTAATAGACAGACTTCGAAAATTAAAAAAAAAATTACTCATTTTTAAAGGGGAGTATTAAACCGAATTTCAAAAACCCTGGACTAGAGTTCACTTTATTCGGAATACACTTTATTATTAGAGTTCAATTAGACAATTAGAGTTCACTTTTTTCGGTTAGAGTGTACACTTGAAAGTTTTATAATTTCAATTAGTCCTTTAAAGTATGAAGAGGTTCGTAGTTAATATTTCTATCTTTCTAATTCAGAAAATGTATGTATTTAAGGACTCTTTTGCGTAATGAAATATTTTTATTATCTTAGAGTAAAGTATATACCATTTCTAAATACGTTTACAAAATCATAATTTATGTCTCCTAATTGTACATACCATAAACCTAACCTTCATGCATTAAAGGGATTCTTGAAATTTTTGAGATAAGCCACCTCTTTTTCCAAGTATGATATTTTTATTTCAAAATGTTTCGTTGTAATTTTTCTTGAAATAGTAGTATAAAAATTTCAGAAATTTTTACTCGATAAAAGTATAATGTACAAAAACAGAATACGGTCTATATGCATAAAAATCATGGTATTTTAAATAACAAAGTGCCCTCTTTGACAAATTAGAAATATGTTTTACCATTTTATTTCAACAAGCTTAACAATATAGTCTTTTTCATTCTTAGCGAAAAATTATTAAAAAAGATATTAAACACTAAACAGCACATTGTCTTTGAAAACTCGTAAAAATATAAGTTAAACAGAAAAAAACTTCGAAATCTAATAAATAACAACTTGGAAGTCTAATTATAATAAAGGATCTATTAATCTTTTGTCGTAGTCTTAGTGGACTATATTAAATATATTTAAATTTTGAATTTTTCTTTAAGAAACTAAACTTTTAGCTTGATTAATAAACGTAAACTTATTCTCTTGTAGGGAGAGAATACATTAAACACACTTCATCGGAAACTAGAGTTAAAGAAAGATTTTATCATTTCTTACCGGTATAAGTAATCCGAGCAACCAAATATTACAAAAGAGTTCGAAATTTTACAATCTTGATCTTGGAATGAGTCGCTTCTATTGTTCTTCTTTCATCGATAGAAGGAATTCTTTTGTGGAATTCAATGAAAGGAAAATGAATGCCTTTTGTCGTTATTACCTTTGAGTATTGATGGAGATTCTTCTTTAACCTATGAACATATTGTGAAAATCAGTTGTGTGATTGAGGTCTAACGTAATTTTAAGTAAAATCTTATTTTGTTTGTTATGGAAAGTTGTCTTTGAAATGACATACAATTTGAAAACGGGATATCAATTACAGTATCGATAACTTAATATTAATATTTTCTAGTTAAAGTTTTGTCTGTTTAAAGTTTTGATTGATTGATTTTTATTTTTTATTACGCATAGACAGGCTTGTGTGCTCATTACAAAGTACAACCTTTGCCAAGAGTTGCTGTTGTTGTAGTTGTAGTTCATTTACGTCGCACTAGAGCTGCACAATGGGCTATTGGCGAAGGTCTGGGAAGCATCCCTGAGGATGATCTAAAAAAATGCCGTCGCAATTTTGATCCTCTACAAAGGGGATGGCAACCTCGCTTCGGAAGCCCGACGACCTGCATGCGAAGTCGAGCACTTTACGGTAGAACAGTTTAACACACACCCTCGGTCCTTAGGCAGACTAATCCAAGTAGTCACCCACCCGCTCACTGACCACCGCCAGTGATGCTTGACTTCGGTGATCTGATGGGTACCGTGTCTTAATGATGAGTTCACTGCGGGACCCTTTGTCAAGAGAGAGTACAAATTAGAATGGAACATCACAATTTGATACTACGAGATTCGAACCCGCTACCTCCAAGATACAGAAAGCATTTGGCCAAAGAACGAGATCGTTCTGCCAATTATTCGAGGATCCAATTAGATCCGAGGAATATTGATCGAGGACCAATTTTATTTGTTCATGTAGGACCAATTATTTCATGTAGTTACTCAAATAAATATGCGGGTTGATGACAAAAAAATAACATACAAACTATTGTCCTATAACATCAGAAAGGTCCTGCAGTCAAATCCCGGACAAGACATGGATATTCTCTCATTCTCTGTACTGTATGTTCTTACTGTAGGAGCAACGTTGACCCACCTAATATGGTGCCCCTGAAAGAGCGGCAAGGAATAGAATTCCGGAATAGCAAGTGTCAATCGGTAGAGCATTGAAAAAAAGAAGAAGAAAAAACTTTTGTTCTATAGAAGAACAGATGGCTCAAAATAGATAAACTATAAATCTAGGGCTACGGTGAGATTGGTACGGTTTGATCTGTGATTAAACCCATTATCACGGATTAATTTTTAAGTTCAGTTGAATTTTGGATTCAGAGATTTATTCAGATACGTATGCGGATTTGTGTACGAAATACTGAGAACCGCATGTAAACAACGCTCCTTAAGTTGATGAAAAAATAGCTTATTGATACAACCAGGGTCATGGTGGAATTCGAACCTGCTATATCCAGGTTTTACAGCATTTTGTGGTAGGGAAATATCCCCGATTAAGGAGGACTCTTTCTTTTTCAGATCTAAGCAAGGATCTCAGTTCCTTTTATGAATATCATGATTTGTTCATTCTGTAACGTACAACTTGCGCTGTTTCTTTTCCAACATTCACCTGAAACTGTGTGAAATGAATTGTTTATGAACATGGGGAAGGTACTTTATTTACGTCATCTCTAGAACTGCTGTAACGACTCTAATGGGCTATTGGCGACGGTCTCAGCAGCATCTTTAATCATGATTCGAAGACAGGCCATCACAATTTTGCTTATGTGCAGTGAAGATCTCATTAGTAAGGTGAATTTTTCAATTTATATATAGATCTGAAGGGGAAGGCAATTTTCTCCAGATCCCTGTTCCCAACGCACTGCTCAGCGACCGACCACAGGACTTTCGATTCAACAGATTTTATGAGTACGTACATCACAATACTCGATCAGTCTTAGCGGAGACGAGGATTAAACCCCGGCCCCTCCGGACCAGAGTTCAATTCTCTAACCACAAGGCTACCAAGTTCAATGTATGTGGTATTCCAAAATTCAGCCGACAAATTCAATGGGATGATAAAAGATATTTGGAAGATGAAGACTTGCCATTGGATATGGAGTTGTAAGTCACATTGACCGAGTGAAAATCACGAAAATCCTAAGCAAGTTGTGATGTCATGCTCAAAAACATTCACACAAAAAAATTATTATTAATTTATGACAAGAAATGTTTGAAATGGAACTCAATGATGCCATTGCATGGGCAACAATGACATAAAAAGGTTTTCCGTGAGTACCCGAGGAAGCCAGGTGTGTTTTCACACTCCGCTTTTCGTTTTCTCTAGATTTAGAGCTTGCAAGCGTTTTCCGAAATTTTCATCTCTCAACGTGGTTTGAGACAGCATGTTCTATGTTAAATTTTCATGCTCTTGATTCCTCCCACTCACAATATTTTATAATTCAATTAATACAAAAACCAAACTCAATTCACCACAAATGGAGAAATGTTTAACTTCGTTACATCTGAATAAAGCTAAAGCAACTTGGAAAATACAAATAATGTGACTTAGACTGACAATCGATAATTTCGGAACTATAACCGAGCACCTTCTTCAGGGTCAAAAGATAGAAAATAAATCGTTTTTTCGACGCTGAAGATGAAGTTTCATTACAATACAGAAGCAATTATATAAGTTAACCCTTTGTAAGGTTGCGGTAAGTATATTTCCCACGACTTTCATTTCTTTTCAATTATTATTGAACTGCTATTTTCTCACTTGTGAGTTGTGACTACTAGGGCTACTTAGGGCTTTGTTTAAACAAATATGGGCAACAGTAAAGATTAGCGAAAGTCAAGAGAAGCGAGCAGTTCTGGACAGCTTTCTTTTATCTTGTGTGTTACGTGTTCATTCATTTCGTAGGTGAGCTTTTTATTCTGGATACAGCTTGAAATGCATGTTTAAGGAAATTGGCATAACTGGAAATGCGTGTTTTAGAAAGTAGACATTGCTCGAAACGTGCGTTTCTGAGAATGAGCACAGCTCGAAACGCGTGCTAAAGAAAATGAACCTAGGATTTTTCTAGCTGATTCTATTCTATATATATATATATATATATATATATACAGTGGTGGCCAAAAGTGTGGACATTTTTTGTAAGTTTCATGCTTTTCAACTTTGTGTGCCTGTAGAATATATTAATTTTCCCTTAAATACAAAAGCTTGCATATCAAATTGAAGGTAATTTAATGTAAAATTAAATAATAAATGCAGTATTACAATATCTGCATTACAAAAAAAGTTATGCAACTAATAGTAAGATCTATCTTAGATTTGCTTTTTTTTAAAGTGATACTTACAGAATCAATACTCAGTAGGATAACCCTTATTTTTTAAGACAGCTTCACAGCGTCTTTTCATCGAGTGAACGAGTGTTTGGAGTTCATCTTTCGCAATCACATGGTGCCAAGAATCAATTATAGCTTCAATGAGTTGTCTTTTATTGGATGGACGTTTTTGTCGTTCAAGAATTTTCAAACGTCGCCACAAATTGTCAATTGGATTGAGATCAGGGCTGTTTCCTGATCATGGTCATATATCTATGCCTTTATTTTGAAACCATGCTTTGCATACTTTTGCTGTGTGCCATGGAGCTGATCCCGCTGAAAAATAAATGGAGCGTTGTGGAGGAAGAGATCCCTGACGGAAGGTATCTATTTTGATCTCAGGACAGTTTCGATGTATTTTTTGGCAATCACTTGAATTTGACCCACACCATCTGCAGACTTGCATGCCCAAATCATGACATTTGTTGGGGTTTTTGTAGTTGCTTCAATGCATACAGGATGAAGTGCTTCACCTTCTCTACGTATGACGTATTTTCTACCATCACTACCAAAGAGGGATATTTTACTCTCATCGCTCCAGATTACTTGCTTCTATTGATTTTCTGGCCATTTAATGTGTTCTTTTGCCCACTTAACTCGTTTTTCACGTTGCTTTTGATTTAGATATGGCTTATTCTTTGGAATTCTAGCTTGCAGTCCATTTCCTGATAACCTTCTTCTTATTGTTCTTGAACTTACTGCAATACCCGCTGCATTCAATTCACATCTAATGGCATATGATGAAATTTTTCCATCTTGAAGGCAAAACCGCTTAATTTTTCTATCGGCAGTAGCACTTGTGCATTTTTTTCAGCCTGATTTGGCATCCTGATAGCCAAAAAATACATCGAAACTGTCCTGAAACTAAAATTGATACCATCCATCAGGGATCTCTTCCCCAACAACGCACCATTTATTTCTTAGCAGGATTCAGCTCCATGCCACACAGCAAAAGTATGCAAAGCATTGTTTTAAAATAAAGGCATAGATATATTACCATGGCCAGGAAACAGCCTTGTTCTCAATCCAATTGAAAATTTGTGGTGACGTTTGAAAATTCTTGTACGAAAAAAACGTCCATCCAATAAAAGACAACTTATTGCAGCTATAATTGATTCTTGGCACCATGTGATTACGAAAGATGAACTCCAAACACTCGTTCACTCGATGAAAAGACGCTGTGAAGCTGTCTTAAAAAATATGGGTTATCCTACTAAGTATTGATTGTGTAAGTATCACTTTAAAAAAGTGCAAATCTGAGATAGATCTTACTATTAGTTGCATAACTTTTTTTGTAATACAGATATTGTAATACTGTATTTATTATTAAATTTTACATTAAATTACCTTCAGTTTGATATATAAACGTTTGTATTGAAGGGAAAATTAATATATTCTACAAGCACACAAAGTTTAAAAACGTGAAACTTTCAAAAAACGTCCAGTCTTTTTGGCCACCACTGTATCTATATATATATATATATATGTGTGTGTGTGTGTAATTAGTTTTTATTGAAAACATATTATAAGTCAACAGTTTTTTTACAAGGTTGCCATGGGTACTCTAAATTTGTAATAATGGTTATAAATTAACTTTTATAGAAATCAAGATTTTTAAAACCAATTAATCATTTAGTGTTCTGTATATAAAGAGTTGTCTGAAAAGATATGGAATAAACATTGTCACTCCGACCCGAAGTCCGGGCATGATTATGCTTAGTGCTTAAAAAAAGTAGAGAGAAGTAAATACTAAGTTCCTCATCTAGTTGTAAAATTTGAGTTCATTTTTTGCACTTTTTGATTTGTTCATTTTTCTAAACATACATTTTGAGCAGTGTCCCTATTTTTAAAAACGCATTTCAAGTTTGGATCATTTTTCTAAACACGCATTTCCAGCTGGGCACTCAATAAAAAACTCGCAATCCATCTGATTACTTCTCATAAAGTTTATTTGTAATTATAAATACAGAATTTTTTGAAAAGCAGAGAAGATTATTCCTCTATTCGATTATTGAAAAGCAGAGAAGCTCATGTTTATGGCCAATTCTTTACAGTTTGTAAATTTTTGAATATCCCATTAAACTTCTCACCAAAAAAAGTATCTAAGGAATGAAATTTATTTTAAGTAATAAACTAAATGAATTTCTTTTTTCTACCTCAATCCCAAAAATATTTTGACATAACATTAATAGCACAAAAAAAAACTTATAAAAAGCTAATCGCCCTTTTTTACGTCGTTTCAGCTCAATTCAATCTGCAGCTTTTTAATCGATCTTACCCTATCGTCAATATCATTACTTAATTCTAGAACATGATGAGTTCAATGTACTGTAAAAGCACTAATTCCAAAAGGAAATTCACAAGTTTAATTTGATAATATTATTTTTTTACTGAAATTAAAAGTACTAATTTAGATTTTTTTCAATGTATATAAAAATATGAGTTTTGAAAATTTTAAATGCAAGAAATAAAAATTTTATTGCAGGTAGCCTAATATAAAGTTTCTTTTGTGTCCTTTACTGTTTTCATTTACCTGAATCGTTTTTCTCGAGTTCAGCATGATCTAAATAGAGGAAGTACCGTTACACTTAGTGAGTAAACTCTAAACCAAAGTTTAAGTACTTTTATCATCATAAAATTTTTTTTATACGGATTTCATTGTGGTGAAGAAAAGGTATTTTCTTTTTTTGACGTTTGGTGGACAACTTTGCTCATAGTTTAAGGCAATTTATAGAGGAAAAAAAAAGATAAATTATTAATTTTAGGCTCATTTAATTTTAAACCTCATTTAATTTTTAATAAGTATATGAGTCCAAGAATGCGTAAAACTATGAGAAAAAATAGTAAATGAAAATAATTGAAAAGCGTATAAAAAGAAGAAAAATAAGCTCTGTAATTTTTATATTTAATAAATTAACCCTAATAAAACAATTGGAGATATAGACAAGTACCCGATTGTATTTCAAGGAAATCCAACCGAACCTTCAATTCTGGGACCGCCCTTCTGTAGCCTAAAGTTACGCATTACTTCGCCTTAGAAGTCTTTCCTTTACTGAATCAGGTGCTGAATGCTTTACGGATTTGATATTTCGTGGAAAACTTTGTCCATAGTTTAAGGCAATTTATAGAAAAAACAATAAGAAAATTATTTATTTAAGGTTCATTTAATTTTAAACATTTAATCACTAATTATTTAAATTACTTAATTATAAAACAACTTAATTATTTAAATTATTTAATTATTTGAATTACAGAACCAATGCATTTTTAATCTAATTTGAATTAGTGGCATTTGAATTAGTGGCTAATGACATTTAATGTTACTGCCTAAACGTTCTTGTTGAACTTGTGACATATATTGCAAAAACATTTTTTTTCCAAGATTTTGAAATCTGGCATCATCGTCAAGCACTTACATTGCTACGTATTCAGTGTTTTAGCCTCAAATCATATCCTTCAAATAACATTAAATAAATAATATAAATTTTTTTATTACGAAAATGCATAAAAATGCTAATAATGCTTGCTGTAAGCGACGTTATATCAATAAAGGTTAAAATGGTAGCCAGTTAGATAAATAATTAGATTGTTCTAAATTAAATGGTTATCAAAAGCTTAAACAGAAAAATTGCAACAAATTCATGTGACAGGGCAGAAACTTTTCTCCCTAAGCTTCTAGGTTTTCGACAGATAGTGCTGCAAGATGTCCTTTCTACTTTTTCTACCGTGGAATGTATAATTTCGTTTTAAAAATACAATACGTTATTGCAGCTGATAATAGAAATTTCAAAAATAATGCAATTTTATTTCATTTCATTGAAAGATGTCGAAAAATTTGTGTGCGATTTTCAATTATTTTTTTTGTAATTTGCAGGTTTATGATCTGCAGCACCATATGTTGGAAAATATTTGAACTAAATCGAGGAACCCTAACAAGAAAAAAAAAGGATGCCCAGTAACATGAATTCGATGCAAGATTTTTTTCCTTTTCTTGTGCTGTACATTTCTGAATCTGCAATATTATCATTATCACTAAAATATTAAAAGTATCTTTAAAAGATTTTGTATAAAAGAGAAACTTATACATTTTTAGTATAATTCTTCAAAGTCAACCTCTATGTTACAAGGAAATATATTTAATACCAATTTAAAATTTGTGCAAAGCACTATATTTTAGAAATAACAAACGAAGCAGAAAAGACACTTTTATCATCCTTACAAAGTTTTTTTAATTAGGAAAATATATCAAAGAAAAGAAGTATCACCTTTGTTTGAAAAACAATAATGAAACGCTTTGATTTTTCTCCTCAATCTAAGAAAATATTTTTAAAAGAAACAAATTCTGATGAGAAACTTTTTGAATGGATTGGGATAAATCTGATAAATTATGAAGAAATTGAAATAGGTAGTTTTAAAACAACATACGGGCTTTTGAATGTTAGTCTAAGGATTTTGAAGTTACCGATTCAATCACCTATTCAACTATTTCAACAGAATTCAGTATTGAATAGAAAATTTCTCATTAAATCTTATACTTTAATTTAAATTTCTTTGTAATGAAAACGAAGTCCTTACGGTTACAATGTGATGCACTTTTCTATAATTTTGAAATTCTTTTATCAGAGTTTAATATAATATAATATAATATAATAAAAAAAATATTATATAATATAATATAATAAAATATAATATAATATAATGTAATGTAATATACTGCTAAATTATTAAAAGTATGAAATAAAAATTATGAAAGCAATTAATGTAACGATTTTTTTAAATTGAGGGTAGCAAAGTAAATTATGAAAAAGTATTTTTAAAAAAAAGTTGCAAAACTGCCTAAAATATACGACACAATTAGTCTTTTAAGGAGTAAAAACACGCATTATATACAAAAGAGGGCATTAAAATGAAAGACATAAAATTTTAATTTTTTACTAGAACTATTTCTTCTACATGTTTCGTACACTATAAGCAAGTGTGAACTTTCCTCCATGAGTTTAATTCATTATTTAAATAAATATGAAAGTGTCAACCTTAACGCATGTAAAGCTGATAGCTTTGGCTAAGGGTAAATAATAACCCTAGAGAACAAAACTTTTATTGCATGTATACAAATAGTTGATCTTGCCTAACTCGGGTGTGGGGATTTTAAAACTGAAATTAGTTCTGCTCCAAAAGACAGAAATTTCGTAAATGACCTTTTTATTTAATATTCTCTTTCTGTTCAGAACCAAACAAAGAATTAGTTCATTATTGGGAAGCATCTCAAGCGGCGTATAAATACATTTACATGCTCAGATATCTATGTAATTTTAACTCAGATGATTTGCCATAACTCTTCTAGAAGTTTATCGCAACTTTTATGAGACCCCTTATTATGTATAACGTCTTTAAATTTGTACATTTTCACAAAAATAGACTAAAATAAAAATGCCAAATAGAAAAAAAAATGTAACTTGGAGAGAGAAATCAATTACAGATTTGAAATCAGCGACTTAAAAGTATCTAAGATCTGATAAAAAAAAATTCTTGCAACAGTGAAAACAAAGTTCACAATTTAATTTATAAATAATTCGTACTCCTGATATTTCCTTCAATTTTCATCCCATTCGGTAGAAAATTCCTAAGCATAAGTACATCTAATGTTATTTCTTTAGTTTATAAGTAGGGTCATTTTTAATGATTAATAAAACGTCAACGTTTTTATAGAACAAAAAATATTAATAATAATAAAATAAAATCTAACTAAGAGCGAAAAATTCAGCAATGCTCTTTAACCAGTTAAATTCTGAAGTAAATGTGATGAAAATAGAAGGCTAAAACTGAGAATTTTTATCGGGTGTTCTTAAAAGCCCATATATATACACTTTGGTTTTCTATAATAAATTGTATTAATTTGCTAAAATATATATTTGCGAAAGAGGCATGGCGCTTTCTCGTATGCTACACTCGAGATATCCACTATCAGCTTTAATCTCTTTTCGTAATCAGAGAACGTAATTTTCATATATTAAAAAGCATAAAAATGATGGGAAATATTTACAGTACTCTTTTTGGAAGAGTAACTGAACTAAAACCTCGTTCTGAAGAAGATATTATGCATTATCACGTCAATTTACTTCAAATGATAATTTTCGATTTTAATCATTTTCCTGTTAAATGATTATAAAAATCATCAGTCCTATTTTAGACACCTTGTAAGATATCAATAAAAAATTTTAGATATTTGTTATGATTTTTTTTATGAATTTCGTTAACTTGTCCAAATATAGTAGTGCATATTAAAAAGATAGAGCATGGTGAAGCTTTTCTGTTTGCTGTACACGAAATGTCCACTAACAGCTTCAATCACACGTCGTAATTGGAGGACATGGGTAAGAGACATACAGTGCCCTCTATCGGAAAAATAATTTAGCTAAAGTTCTCGAAGTCCTGAAGAAGATAGTATGGTTTATCACATCAATTTACCGAAAGTATTATTTTTATTTTCTTGTTAAATACTTTTGCAAACTGTTCTATTTTAGACACCCTGTCTCATATCAATAAAAAATTTCAGATATTTATCATAATTTTTTTCCTTAAGTTTAGATTTTTTTTAAAAAAATAAAATAAGTACGTATATTACTTATTTTTAAATAAAGTAGGTAGCACGGCATAATATGAATGATATTTTAATGTATGAGTAAAGTATAAAATATAAAGGCATATAAAAATTATTTAAATTTGAGTTATTTGATCGGAAAATGAATATTACGACATAAATATTATAATATAAATATTCCTGACAAAAAAGAAAATATTTTGATATCAAAACATAACATTTCTACAGCACGTAGGGACAAATGTTGCTGATTTCTATAAATATTTTCTTATCGTAAATTCACGAAAAATCATAGAATTGAATTGTTTCCGGATCGAGACCCTATTGCAGATAAAGAGTCTTTAAGCAATTCATGCATGCAAAAGATAAAATAATGTATATAGTAAAAGAAATGTTTTATATATTTTTTCAAATGCTCACGAGTAAGATTTTCTATTTGTTTGTTTGTTCAGCTTTTTGAGCATAGAGAAACACGCGCCTCAGGCTTGCAAAGTGTCATATGCAATCCTCTTTGTTGCATATTTCGGATTTTATTTTTCTTTTCAAGCATGAGGTACGCTAACATTGCATAGATTTGTAAGAATCATATTTTTACAACGATTTTCGTTATCGGTGTGGTTCTCCTTTTCAATATCTCACATCTTCTTCCTAGATTCAAATGGCTCGAGACGAGCGAAAGAAGAAAAAGTGGAAAAACAGAAAGGAATAACACCTCCCACAAAGTTTTTCCTGCCCATGCTTTGGAAAAGAATGATTGCTAAAATAGAATGCGTAAATATTTCCTACTTCCAACAATGGATCCGGATGAAAAATATATTTCGAATTCTTTGTTTCAAGTTTCAAAACACATTTTCTTTTTTTTCTTCTCCTTGTTCTATTTCTTTTTTTGAGCTTAACAAAGCATCAGCATATCAAAAACAGAATAGCAAGCGGTACCAATAACGTTTCGATGCTGACATCAACTCGACAGTAGTTCTTTTAGACGCTGCAAGTGTACTACAACAAAAGGAGCTACACCGCATAGTTGTATGAAAGGCTCTTTTGCGAGTGAATGCTTTATTGACGTATTGCAAAAGTACTTCTTAGACTTAGCCCAGCTGTGGGCTTTTCTCACGCCTTTCTGACGGCAATTTTTTTGTGTTTTGGTGTTGATGGGTGTATGCATGTGCTGGTTTGTGTTTTATTTGCATTGCTTTGAAAGGACCTGTCACTCTTCGGTGAAAAGAAATCGATGTAAATTATTCCTCATTCTCCTAAAAATTTTCGCATAAAAGCCCTTCTCCTCGTGTTTTGCAACTTAATGGCACTAAAGTTCTCAAGTAAGAAATAAAAGAATTTTTGATAAAAAAAATAACAAAACAAAACCATACTAAACAAAAGAAGGTGTTTTAACTGGTGAGAAGAATAAAGAGAAACCAAAATAAGGGATGATCTGGCAATTTGTATAAGGATTTTTTTTTCTTATTATAATGAGAGCAAACATTCTCCTCACGGAGGTAATAGTAAAGACGCAACTCTTAAATTGTTCAGGTGATTAAAAAGTGGTATGGTAATGATTGAAACAACAAAACAAATTTAGCTAGTTTTACATCTAATTTATTCAAAGGTTGAAAACTATTTTTTAAGAAAGCACTTTTTTGGTAGTTTGTTTCTGAAATTCAATGAAAGAGAGCATCTCTATTCCGACTAGGCACATCTTTCATGTTAAGTAATTTATTTTAGATGGATTAAGAAAAAATCTTTACTATTTATTCATCGCATTAAGTATATCGTTGCAATACGCTATTTCTTTAAGAAAAATGGTGATGTAATTTAAGTCTCTAATCTAATGATCACACAGAGAAATTTAAGAGATGTCGCAGCTTTTAAAGAATAAAAAGTAGTTGGATTATTTTGTACACCGTTTCGGCTGTCAGAAGGCTTTTTCTCTGAAACTTTAGTGCAGCAGCTGATTAGCTTTTTTTTCATTTTATCCATTGAATTGAAATAGGTAAATAAATATATCCAATTATTTAAAGGAAAACAAATGTCATGCGTCAGATCACACTATCGAAGCGTGAAAATCGTTCAGGTACAGTAATTTAAGTTTTTGCTTCGGAGAAAAGACGGTAAAATTTTTTCGCATCTCTAACTCATCAAGAGAGAAAATTTCCCTTCTAGTTTGTAAGTGCATATGCTATAAGACAGCTAAATTAAGTAATAAATTTGACATTTACTTTGAATCTTGTGTCTTAGACTATCATTCCAACTTTTGCCTGCTCAATTTAAACTTGCTGAAGAAAATAATAGATAACGAAAATTTTTAGAAACTTCAATTTTTAATAACCAGGTAAAAATATTTCTAAAATTTGCTAGACTAGTAAAGAAGCTGGTACAATCTATTTTTAAAATCGGGCATGGCATTGTGATTCTGCAACTGCTACCTAGTATTTTTTTCCCATTATAGGCAATAACAAATGATATCAGATAAAGTACTCAGTTCACATATAATAGGGCATTTATATTGCAATTTAAACAGTGGTTATGGTCACCAAATATTGAAGGAAAAAAAACATAGGCTAAATATATCTCGAATTTTATTCCCCCCAGAAATATTGAAAAGTATTATTAATTAAATTGTAACTCTGTCTGTGATTTGATAATCTTCAGGTTAGGTTGAGTCCATCAAACTTTAACGTTTTTACAACTCGGAGATGATTTAATCACGCAAATCAGCCTTTTTAATATTATTTTATAACCAGTGTTGAACATACGACCTAATCCTGAGTGTACGACTTTTAATGTTCAATTCTACAACTTTGTAATTTTGGACCAAACCCTGAAGACAAGAAAGCAATTGGATCAATCATTAGGATAAACTAGACTTTGTGTAGGACTTGCTGATGGGACTAATAGGCATTTGCGTTAAATGAAGAGGAAATCCATGAAATCCTCCGATGGTAAGCCTCATGGTAAGGAGACCCATGTTCCGTTTACCACTGAGAATATTTAATGAAAGAAATGTAGTTTTTGCGAGCC